TGCATTCACTTTATTTGTTTTCATAGCCTTTAATATGTATTGTTTTGTTGGACAAATATATATATATATATATATATATATATATATATTTATATTAAATAACTTCTGTACAATGTATAATTTCAATACATCTTTCATTTGATTTCCATTTGAACTAATATTTCTTAGTAAGAATTGTCTATAAAAAAATGAACCCAGAATACACAAACAGTTCTTTAATAGAAAAAATAAACAAGTGCGTTGAGTATCCAGTCGCTGCAAAAACACAATGGCGACAGTGTAAATATCAGCCCGCACCAGTGGTTTTTGTTCTAAGGAAATATTGACAACAAAACCATGGGAAAACAATGCTCCACTTTCATTCTGTCAGAACTGACACACTAAACTACAGCCTGATATCCTCATTTCAATCATTCAGAGACGAACTGTTGTATAATACATCCCGGTTAAACGTAGAAAGCGTCTAATAAGCGCACTAGAGAGAAAACCCTTAGGAGAAACCAAACCGTGTATTAATAACACAATCCGCTAGTGTTTACAGTAATGATACGCTATCAATCACAGTTTGCGCCTGTTAACCCTCTGGGGTCCGAGGGTGTTTTGGGGCCTGGAAAGGTTTTGACATGCCCTTACATTTGTGCTTTTTTCAGTTGCTTACAAACATTTGAATGTCTAAAGTTTAATAACACTGTAATCAGCACAAACTGGGCTACAATAATATGTGAGCAGCATGTATGTACGTGATTGTGTTTTTGAGAAAACAACGTTTATGCGTGCTTAGTGAAAAACTAAAATTTTAAAGTCACTGAAATAAGGCCATAAAACACATACAGAACATTTGATCACAAGACTTTTGAGAACTGATCTTGAAGTCTAGAGTTTTTGCTTCAAAATTATGTGAAAATCATCTTACTCACTCATTCACAGAAAACAATATATTGATTTAAATTTTCTAAGACATTTTTTGTGTAGAAAAGGTATATGCGAGTAGGCGTGAATGATCATGAATAATGCTGTGATTCACACCTGAGAAGACAAAGGCCTGCATAATGAGCTGCATAATGAGCCTTTCAGTCAGGTGTGTGACTGAGAGGGAATTGCTACAAGAAAGAATGCGAGGAAAAAAGAAATGTATATATTTTTTGTTTGTAGTTCATTTAGAATACATATAACTATCACATAAAATAACTCATGGGAGTGTGTACATCACATGGTCTTAGCTGTGGTCCAGGTTCTTGTGCAGGCAGGAATCTCAGAGCCTGTGGAACATGTCAACGTCAGTCTCTGGTTTCCATGACCAAGTGGGCTGCTTTGCTTTGGCTCTCTTTGCAACATGTTCTTTTACACTGTTATTCTCACATCTGAAATAAAAAAGCAA